ATTGTGCAATTAATATATTTAGTATAAATCAGTATTAGTATAAATCTTCTCATTTGATAGGCCAAGATAGCATTAGCAATAAGTAGAATGCTATAACTAACATCTATTTCACTTTTACTATGTGCCAGGGACTGCATGCATTTCACGTTATTTTCAAGGTACCGTATAAAGGAACGGTAAGAGCACAGGTCCTACAGACAAACTGTCTGGGTTGAAATCCCGCTCTACCACTTTTTACCAACGTGGCCTTTAGCAAGTGACTCAATTCATCTGTGGCTCATTTGTAAGCTGGAATAACAGTAGTATCTATCTTCTAAGTTGGTACTGAGGATTAAATAATGTGTACAGAGTACTTAAGCCAGTGTCTAGGACATAGTGAGTAATAAATTTTAGCAATTATTATTACTATGTGTTGTGGAGTGTTCTACTCTGAGTTTCCAGTGTTTGGTTTCCATTCATGAAAAGAAATACTTATAGCCATTAAAAATTTGAGATTTCTTCTGGCCCGGGGGCAAAGAATGGGGATGAAAAGAGTCCTACACAAAACATTTTGCAAAGGGTGAATTATTAACATTCAGACAGCAGCTGGCCTATAGGTGCTCTAATTAGTTTGGCCACAGGGTCCAAGATTATTGATCTCTGTGACAGAACCCTAATGAATAGAGGTTTCCATAGTGATAGCCACAGCAACAGAGCCCATGAAATCGACACTGTCTACATAGATTTCTATTGAGCCAATTCACTTTTAGTGAAAAATGCTGTGATTCCCTAGAGATGAATGAGGAAATCCTTGATGGGACACTGCTTGATGTTAGATTAAAAAGGGAGGGGACAACTCTCCTCAAAGTTAAGGAAAACCAAAACACCCAACCTTGGAGCACAAACAGGCTGCAACTTTTCAAAATTTAACAGAAGAGTTTCTGTCATAAGTAATACAATGCTGTGCAGAATTTGGTAGAATGTCACACTATTAGCACTTATATCTCCTACGAATAATGAGAAATTTTAGTAGAGAAAGAGCTCTTCAGAGGAAAAGCCTTAAATTTAAAGCTGGTAAACAATTCCCAAATAACGTATTTCATATTTAATTACCCTGATGCATCCACTCTTAATTTCTTGAAAGCAGTTTGTAGACTCTCCTCCTCCCCATCCTTGGCTTCGGACTTCATTGTGAAAGTTTTTACACTACTATGGATGGTCCCGTTAATACTAAAAAAGAACATCAAAATAAAATGAGCCAAGTGAAAACAGGTGGGTTCAAAAGTATACCTTTTGTTAAACTCTTTATTCCTGATACTATTACTGTTTGTTGGGGTCGGCAGGGAAACAAATGTCTATTTCTAAAAGGAAGTTTCAGTGCAGATAATTAGGAAACTGTAAGTTTTATTTCTTACATTTATTATGATAGAATTTAAACTGCGCAAGTACTTGATTCCAGTATCGTACTACACAGTCTTGGAAACTAGACCACCTAAAATCTGTGTTTAGGTATACTTTTTAACAGGAAGAAAAAAAATCTCTCCAGTCATAGAGGTCTAGAAACCTACAGATGATAAAATGACCTTTGCATCAGAAATAAAAGGGAAAGCTCAACCAACAGCACTCTGATTCTTTAAAATGCTACTGAGTATCTAGTTTAACCCTCAAAATTCCAATTAAATATAACTGCATGACACATCATAGCATTTCTCTAGAGCAATCCAAACCCAAATATCAATATTCATATCAATATGCATACCCAGATATCAAGTAGTTACCATTGTTAAAAAGGGATTACAAACATGTTTCAATGGTTACTGATTAGTCTATACTCTACCAATACGGGTGATACCTTCATTTTTTTATAGCTGTGAATATTTTAATTATTACACAAGAAAGACAGAAAAAAATGAACTATACTTGCAACTCAAAAAAATAAAAAGAACAAACTTAGCCAAAAGGAAGAGGTAGAAAGTAAAGAAAAAAATAGAAATTATTGTTCCATAGATGAGCCTTTAAATGATCTTCACTTAATCAACTAGCTTGATAAATCAAAGTTCTCCATTTCTTCCACCCTGATTATATTTAAACAAAGAAAAGGAGAAGGGGAACCAATCAAAGCAACAAGAGATACAACGGAGAAGCCTGTTAATAAATTCTTTGAAACTAGTTTCTCAATTATTGTAAAATATTAGTTAATACCAAATCCTGAACAAAAAATAAACTACTATCTATGATATAAACAGAGACTCAGAAAGAAAAAAAAGTTAAAAAAAATAGAAGATGGGGAATTTTTGAAGCAAAGGATTCACTTTACCTCTTCTTCATTTCTAACCTGCTACCCCCACCCCATTCTCCAACCCCCTTGGGCACTCTCAGAGGGAGCAGTGCCTCTCTATGGCTCCCTGGATCCTTACCTGCTCATCCTCAGGGGTGGGTTTGATGTTATTATGAGACCTCTAATATTCCAAAGGTCAGGGTGTCATAATATGTTGGCTATAATATAACCATATAGTACCAGTGGCAGAATAAATAAGCAAGGAATCAAGACTATTCAGGGGTAGGGGTAGGGTGTGTGTGTGTGTGTGTGTGTGTGTGTTTAATTTATGTGTAGAGGAACTATTTTTTTTAGGCAGTTCTCTCTGGGGATTGAAACACTGAAAACAGTCCAAAGAATTCAGCTAGCTTTCACTTCAACTTCTTAAGACAGAAATATAAATACACTCCCCACACGCATTTTGCTGGTTCATTTAACCTGTATATGAACTTGAGGAAACATTACCAATTCCATACTTCACTTTCTAATTCTTCTGGATTTAGAGGAGGATTCTTCCTCACATACACAATGTCCTATATACCTGCGCAGAGGGGTGAGCAAAGATCACATTCTAATATTTTTAAAGTTCCACAGCAACTAAAAAGGGTGTTATTGTAGGATGTAAACATATTCTTCCTGTAGGCAGAACTAAAATTAAGTTTGACTTATAGTTTTCGATTACTTTATGACCAAATGCTCAGACTACCGGGTCCCTTCCACAAATATTTACAGAATTCCTACCATGGGCTCTAGCACCAAACTGGGTGCTAGGGATATAAGAGTGAACTTCGACACATACCAGGACTGTGAACCCCATTCCTGTAACGACTGGAATCTCATTCCTGCCCTAACACTGGGCTAAGAAGCTCTGTACCCAGACATGTAACTTTTAATTATATGGTGCTAACTTAATGGCACTGCAGGTGACCTCTAGATGTTTATACAAACTTAAGTTAACATTCTTGTCGAGGCACTAAAAGTTACAAACCAAAACCGATCAAAACAAAAACTAGGTACAGGCTAAAACTTTAGGAATGAAATTCCATCTCAACTATTTTCAGAATTGCAGCATTGTGATTACTCGCCTTTTCCCTCAGTTATATTAAGCCAGACCAAATCTGAGTCTTAGGTCCGACCTTAAGAGCTAAACCAAATCAGGGCACGTTTGCAATTACAAAATGTTTACTATGCTCCTCTGTCGTCCTCGCTTCCCATTCACTCAAACCAGGAGCTGTAGGACTAACTCCAGGAAACATATAATTGGCTTGCGCCTCTTCATTCAGATTACATTTGTGGGAGGCTTTCTTGCCGTTTTCACTGCAATGACTTCCTGAAATTGAAAAATCCGCCCAAAAGATCAAACTTTCTAAAGGCCTATCAGAAGTTACTTTGTATTAAGTCAAATCACACCAGGCAATTTAACTTTGCCTCGGATTTTCCCCAACCTTTCAAAACGGACAAAATTCTTCTCAGTTCCCCCATGAAAAGGGCAACATTTCTGGTTTTCTCTGATTTTCAAGGTACAGCATGTATCCCAATGTCACTCATCTCTTGCAGTTTTTAACCAAGACCTCTTTGAACCTCGAGTTAGGTCCAAATTTCCAGGGTCCTGGATAGACCTGAGAATTATCCATACAGGATCCGCGCGTAAGCGTGTCATCACAATGTTAAAGATTTAGAAACTTCTGCAGCCCACCGGGAAAGAAAACCCTGTCCAGCAATTCTCGGAGTCACCAACCAGACCAGATTGAAAGAATCGGCTCCCGGGACAAAACACCTTCACATTTCTCTCTACAACGTCCACTCAACCTCTACGCTTTTGGTGCTAGCGCCAAAACGCAATGTTGTTGTTCTCACCCAGACTCTGGATCGGTCGCGGTTAAACGGGATCAGGAGGAAAGCTCAGAACCGGAGGGGCTCGGACAATGGGGAGTTGTCCAGGACCCTAAATCTGGCCACCCGGGGTCCCCAGTTGGGAAGTTGCCCCTTCAGGATACTCCCGGGCCAGAAAGAGAGGTTTGAGTCAGGCCAAGGCGCCAGGGATGCAGGAGGCGGCGGGAGCGGAGCCAAAGAGGCAGTCAACGAGACGGGGGCTCAGAAAGGAGCGGGAAAGGGCGGGAAGGGGCAAAGGGCGGCGGAGGAGAGCGAAAAGGGGAAGAAGCTACGGGAGAGTGGGAGAGGGCGGAGGAGCAGGACTGCGCGGGGGCCGCGGAAGGACAGGAAGGCGGGAAGGGGCGAGAGAGAGGTGTCCCGGCAGGGCCAGGCCGCAGCCGCTGAGGGGGCGCGGAGAGGCCCAGGCCCGGCCCAGGCAGTCAGCGCCGGGGCACGACGAAATCAGAGGCGGGCGGGCCCAGAGGAAGCCACCCGCGGCCCAGTCGGGCCAGGAGGCCGAAACGCGGTGTCGCGACCACTCCCCGTGCCGTCAGGGCTCTCACCTCCTCGCAGCTGGGGCGCTCCGGTGATCCACTCTCCGGTCCTGATCGACTCTCCCCGAACGCAGCGCCTGACTGACCCGGATCCAAACCCGCGGAGGGGGGGGGGAGCCCGCACGCCCGGAGTCGCATTGCGCCTGCGTCACTAGGTCAGGCGCCCCGCCCCCTGTCCATGCTCCTCCCACCCGAGTGACTCGGCAGCGCGGCAGGCGGCGACTGCGCAGGTGCAAGGGATGGCCGCGCCTCTCAAACGCCCCTTACCAGCCCCTCTCGGAAGCACGTGCACCAAACGTCACTTCCTGTTATTCTCTTCGCTCCCTCTTTGATCCGCAGTGGGTTCGCTGGTGACCGGTTTTTGGGGCGTGCCCTTTTCCCTCTCTGTCAGGTGAGTGAGTAGGCGTCGTTCCTCGCAGTGGCGGAGCCGCCTCCGGTTCCTGGGGTCCCCCTGTGCTGGGTGCTCTACCTGGAGTCACCAAGGCAACGGAATTCTGCGGGGTGAGGCCAGGGTGGGGAAATCTTCGCGGCAACGCAGCCCCTCTGAGTAGTTGCCCTGAGTCTCCTCGGCGTTAAAATCTGGACCGCTTGCGACATCTCCAGGACTCGTGACATGAGCTTTCGCCTCCTTTCGGGGCCCACCGACAAGCGAGGTGGTGTCAGACAGGGCCAGGGTCCATGAATGCGAGGCGAGGTCGGAATTGGAATGGAGACGCCTTCACTTGACTGCCCCTGTTGTTTAAGTTGCTTCAACTGCTTTTACCTCTCACGGCCTCAGCTTCTCCGTCTGTTAACAGGAATCTTAACGGCGAATCTCGTTTTATGCGGGCATGACTCCTTTGAGAACCTAAAGAGAAGTAGAGATCCTCTCGACGGAGAAATGCACGTAACACGCTAAATTTTGCACACAAAAAAAGGAATAGGCAGTTCCCCTAAGTAGGTGATTCGTAGGGATTTTTCCACTTTTGTGATTCTGATGATTGCTCCGATGAGTGTAACAGCCGCTACCCGCTCCAGCACCGACTGGTTCTGCCGACCTAGCTGTGCCTCTCCTCACTCACCATGCCCCAGGTCCAAGTCTGCACATCCGGGTTTCGTGGGGAAAGATGGCTTTCCTCCATAGAACTGGTTCTGGCCCAACGCAGGGCCCCTCCCACCTCCACTCCCCAATATTTAGGTATAGTCGCCTGACGAGATAGGCTGCTGGAAAGAGTTTAGTATCCAGCTTACCTGCAGCCAGACCTTGGAATGCCTGACTTCTGTCTGGGAATGGAATCTGCAGGTCATGGTGTACGGTTGTTAAAACATAAAGCATGTAATGAGCCCTGGGTAAAACATTTTAAATCCCCCCCCCTTGTTCATACCAGAGGCTGAATAAGTGACGGGATAAAAGAATTAACTTGATTGTAAAGTTGCAACCTCAAACCTAATGATGCTAATAATAATGGCTGTCCCCTATTGTGCGGAGGCTTTGCACATGTTCTTTCATTTAGCATCCTGTGGTTTTACACATATTACAGATGAGGATGGCTAGGACAATGAGAGATTAGATAAGTGTTCTAGCTCTCCTTGTCCTGTGTCACACAGTGCTAGTAAATGACCGAGTCAGGATTTAATCTCTCTAAAGCCTGTCCATCCACTGCTGCCCATCTCTGGACATCTCTTAGAAAAGAATAGAAAAGGAAAATATGATGCATTTTTTTCCATAGAAGTTGCCCAGTGACTTGCATCAAGATCAAATATGTGTTTTAAAGATATTATTTCAAAGTAGTTCTTCAGATAAAATACACACCCTTGAGGGCAAGGACTGTATCTAGATCAGTAATGAATTCCTAGAGCTTAACACAGTTCCTGGAGGTTAGTAGGTGCTAAATACAGTTTTGGTAGATTCTTCATTTTACCTTACTTCCACCCATTATAACATTAAATACTGAAAACCAAAAAGTTTTAAAGAGCTTTATGTAAGCATATCTCCATCATAAAGTTAGATGCTTTCTGAGAATGGGAGTATGTATTTGGAAGGCTAGAATCTCTTGGGATGCCAGTAGGTGGCACCATTCACTAAGGAGGGGAATCCCGGAAGCCAACAGGTCTGGGGAATGGGGAGAGTTTAGTTTTGGACATAAGCAGCTTGAAATACAGATGAAAGCAGGAATCAGGTCATGGGGGGTCTTTAAAGGCTGTGTCAAGGGGTTTATTCTAAGCCATGGAGGCTTTGGAAGAGAGGAGAAATATTGTAGAAAGATGGCTCTGGTTTTAGCTCAAATAGCACGTCAATCAAAGAGCAAGTGGCTGTAGGAATGGAGAGCTAGTTAAGAGACTGAAAGTTATACAGGCTTTGGTGAGAGATTGAATGTGAACAGGAAGAGAAAGTGGACAATGACCATTTGCTTTCTAGTTTGAGCAACTGAATGGGTATTGTTGCCTATTTCTAGTGTAACTATGGAATCCAGTTGACAAAGGACAGAAGAACAGGTAAATGAAGGATAATATTAAAAGCTAATACTTTTATAGCTCTTACTGTGTGTCAGAAAACTCATTCTAATCCTCTCAGCAATCCTACGAGATTCCCATTATCATCTTCGTTTTCCAGATGGGGAAACTGAAGCAAAGAGAAATAAAGTGACTTGCCTGCGGTCACACAGCCAGTAAGTGATGGAGCTAGAACTGGAACCAAGGCAGTCGGGCTAGTCTGTGCTGCCACTTTCTCCTTATGATAAGATGCCTGCCAGCGACGAGCTCAGTTTGGACACATTGAACTTGAGAACTGTGGGGTAGCCATGTGGAGGTATCTGTGGGACAGAAGGTACATGAGTCTGAAGCTCAAGTGAGAGATTCGGACTGGAAATAGAGATTGTGGAGTCAGCATGCGGGTGGCCGTTGAAACCACAGGAGAGGGCAAGAGCCCCCAAGGAGATGCTGGGAAATAATAGGGGGAAAAAAACAAAGGGACCCCCAGAAGGCAAGCACAGCATTCCAGTTATGGGAAGGATGCATTTGCTTCTGCAGACTAATAAATTGGTGCCTGGTTTATAGGTCATCAATCCACATTGACTGAGTCGTCCCTCCCACCCCCCTGAGTTTGATCAGCCCTGGATACCCTGACACAGTAGAGTTCTTGGACCCACAACTGTTAGGTCATATCCTGGGTGGTGGTAACCCTCCCCACTCCTACCATGAGATTCCAATTGGTGGCCTGGTGGCCTCCCTGGACACCTGTTTCTTGCCCCTCACCGCAACTGAAGAGCCTCTAGCTCCTCTGTTTACCACTTGCCAACTTTCTGAGCCCTGGGCCCCCCATCTCCAGGACTCCAGAAGCACATCACTTGGGATCTTCAGGTGCCTCCTTAAGGTATTTTTTCACATTGACTCACACATTTCTTGTGTCTCCAGCAGGACTCTAAGCTTCTGCAAGCAATGTCTATTACATGTCCCCCCTGCCTTTCCCTCCCTCAGCCCCTGTGTCCCTGTGTAAGTTAAATGGCCCTGCACTGTTGCGTCCATAGCACTTCACACTCCATCACGGCAGGGCCAGCCCCTAAGTCCCTGGTACCTGGCACAGGGTCTGCCACCGCAGGTACTCAATGATTGTCAATCATCTGTCTCAGCAAACAATTAGTTGCCCACTGGCTTTTTAGAACCAAAAGTGGGGCTTGTTGACTCCTTTGACAGTTGATTTTAGCAGCAGAGCCTTTCACAGCAGTGTTTTGTTTTGGGGGCGAATTGGTGAAAGCTGGCGAAGAGATTAAGTGCGCTCTTGGCATTCTCTTCATAGCCCCACAGCTATTATGGTCTGTTATTTGATAGTTGCTTTTCTGAAGTGTTGGGGAACAGAACAGGGAATGAATGAGGACTTTGGGATGCCGTGATAAATGACCTGGCCCTATTCCTCTGTGCTGGTTGGGCTTAAGTCTGAAGTAACTCGAATCCCAGGACTCAAGTTAAACCTCAGAGCTCCGAGAAGAAATGGGAGGCTTTTCCTCGGAGCTTCTGGTCACCTGCAGAGGGAGCCGTAGGACCGCAGTCTCTTCCCTTCATTGTAAAGCCCTTTACAGTGGTGGGTTTTCAAAACTGTTGAAGACCCTGGGCTACTGAATGGCTTGCCTTCCCGCTCCAGTTTTCATTCATTTGAACTTTGTAATTTAAACTGTATGATGATATCAGGAAGGTGTTAAGGCCAACAAATAGAATCAAGCAGTACAGCTGCAGGAGAAAAAAAAATCTGTAAATGGTGAGGACTGGAAAGGGAGTATTGCACAGGGTTTCTTGGGTGCTGGTAACATTCTGTTTCTTGATCTGATATTGGTTATAGGAGTGTGTTCAGTTCACAAGCGCTTGTACACGTATATGTACATTTTTCTTTGTGTACATTAAACTCCAATTAAAAGTCAAAAACTTACAACAAAGATATGTATTAGATTAGGGTGAGCGGTTCTTTTTTTCCCTATGATTATTAACCTTATCTGAATCACGAGATCCTCTGAGAAAGCCACACGCCCCAGGTTAAGAACATTTGCAGCAGCAGAGTAGAGAAAGTGAGCAAAGGACATGAACAGATGGTTCACAGAAAAAGAAACACAAATGGCCCTTAAAACATATGAAAAGTGCTCAAGCAAAAGATAAAGGCTTGCTAAAAGTGCACTGAGTTACCAATATTAACCAAATTCCAAAGTTTGACAGCACACAGGATGGGGCTGGAGCAGTGGGTGGGGCAGTGGGCAACAGGTACTTGCAGACCTTGCTGGTGGCACTGTGAAACGACAAGTGTAGGCATCCACCCAGTAGATGACATTTGACATGTATGTAATGACTTATGTGAAAGGTTATCCATTGCACCATTGGTTATGATAGCTTGAGATTGGAAAACAACCCAGGGGTCCATCTGTAGGACACAGAAACTGTGGTGCAACCACACACTGAACTATGTAGCTGGAAAAAGAGGAAGCTCTTTGTGGTTTGAGGAAAGATCTCTGAGACATAGTAAGTGAAAAAGGCAAGATGCAAGCTAAAAATAGATATTTGCATTGTATTCTGCATAAACACTGAAAAGATACACAGGACACTAAGAGAAGTGTTTCAAAGAATGGTGGGAGTGGGGCAGGGGCAGCCAGACTTCCTAAGGTGGACCTGCGTTCTCATTTGTGAATCCTGACAGTGAATTACATATGCAAAGCAACAACAGTCAAAAATTTAAAGAGCCGCTGCTCTAAAGCTGTTAAGCCTTTAGGCCATCCATACTTCTTATATCTGCCAATTTCACAATGGCTTTTTTTAAATTAAGCTGTATATTTAGAAGAGTCTTCCATTTATTCTGCATTTGAACTGTTGGAGCACGGTCTCCTGGCTCACCCTAACTCCCAAGGATTCTTCCATGTGCTCTGAACCAATATGCCCCCTCACATGTTGACAGTTACGTCTAATTCATAAGCGCTTGATTCTGTCTGAGGGAAGAAGAAACGTTGCATCAGAAAGGGGCACCTGTGTCCTCAGAGGCCATTGGACGTGAGCTCTCGTTCTGCATCCTTTCATCTTTGCCTGTTTCTACAGCCATTTTCCCCCCTTCTCTCCTCCTCAGAGGGTCTTCCTTCTAAGACCAATCCCTACTCTAACATCACTTTGGTTCCCATCTTTCATACCTTCTCAGGAAATATATTATTTTTATAATAAAAACTGATTGTAACAAAAATTACCTCTGTAGAAAATTTGGAAAATAGAAGAAAATTCTGTATCATTTGGCCCCAGCATTTTGCCGTAGTGTGGCAGAGTTCCTGAGAGCCAGACTGGCTTTGTTAGAAGTCCTGCCTCACCACACCCACCCCTCTGTGTGGCCTTGGACACTGTGCCAAAGCCCCTGTGCCTCCATTTACTCCTCTGAGAAATGGGGATAATGATTGTACCCATCTCGGAGGGCTTGGAGGGAATTGAGTGAGTAATGTGATAGGACACTGGCTGGCTCATAGTGAGCACCCAACAAATGTTAGCTGCTGCTGCTGCTGCTGCTGCTGTTATTATTTTAAATGTATATATTTTAATTGCTGATAAACTGTACAGTTTTTTTTGTTAACTATTATAAGTATTTTCCATGTCACAAAATATTTCTTAAAAACATGATTTTAATGATTGTATAATAGTCGATAATTTAAACATATTTATAATGTCTCCTGTAGTTAACCATTTCTTTATTATTTTTGGACAGCTGGGGTGTGTGTGTGTATTTATATACATCTGATCATAAGTCTGATTGTTTTCTTAGAATAGAATTTTATACCTGCAACTCCTGGCTGAGAAGGTAATGCACCAATAAATTGCATAAAAGAAGGGTTATCAACCATTCACAAAGTCGGGGCCCACTTCGCCATCCTCTTTCCAGCAGTGAGATGAGCTTGTTTAAGTCTCCTCCTTGTTGCTGCCATTTCTTTACAAGGTCGCTTTCACCACATTTCAGTGGATGGTAGGAGATGCCCAAGGTGCTTCTGTATTGGTTACTTTTTATAATATTAATAGATTAAGTGAGTAGTCCCGTACACCCTGGATGAGCATGTTAACTTGCTTCCTGCCTGGCCCTGGCCCGTTTTCCTCTTAAGTGGAAATGTAATCCATGGTGCTGGTAATACACCAGGTTTCCCTGTTTCCCTGTGCCCCCTGCCCGAAGATGTTTAGCATTGTGGCATCTCTCCCCAGTGATAGCACAGGTCCCAAAGCCCAGTAACAGATTCTAAAGGAACCTGACTCAGGTAAAGTACAAGCGCAGATGGACTGACCTATTATCTGCACTGTATGTATGACCTTCTCAGCATATATTGCCAGTCTTTGTGCCATATTTCAAATTCAGATTTCTATTCAATGTACTTCCATTTGCAGTTAACTTACAGAGCTAGAACTTTATTTTGTTAAAACTAACTCATGTTTTTAAGTCCTCCATATTTTACAAAATGCATTCACACACATGATTGCTTTGATCCTTGAAACAACTCTGGGTGTTTGGTATGTTTTATCTCCATTTTACAGATGAGGCCCGGAGAGGTGAAGCCTCCTGTTGAATTACGTATGCAAAGCAACAGCAATCGGATCTCAAATCACGATGCCTTCAGCAAAGGAGAGCCGGAAGGGGGTGAGAATTACTTTGGGGAGATGAATACCAGCTTTGGTTGAAGGAATAAGAGCCGAACAGGTGTCGAAGGAGCAGGAGTCACAGGTAGGAGATCTAGTTCTTTTTTTTTTTTTTTTTTTTTTTTTTTTTTTTTTTTTTTTTTTTTTGGGCTGGACTCGAACCGCTGTAGCTCAGTAGCTCAAACTCTTGAGTGAGCTCTTAACCAACTGAGCCACTCGGCTGGCCCATTTGTTTGTTTGTTTGTTTGTTTTTTTGTTTTTTAGCTGAGCCATCCTGCCACCTGTTGGCAGCTCAGTTCAGGCTGGGAATCGAACTGGCGACCCTGTTGCTCAGAGCTCGCACTCTTGAGTGAGCTTTTAACCAACAGAGCCACTCGGCCGGCCCCTTACAGGTAGGAGATCTGGGCAGGGCAGCACGTTAGGCCCATGGCTGGACCTCCCTACTCCCGTAACTGCGGGGGACACGGGCTGGGGAGACTGGGATGCCAGAGACCTGGACTCCCTCTGCTCTCTCCAGGGCCACCTCGTCCACCCCTTCTGCTGATGGGCCTTCGGGCAAGTCACTGAGCCTCAGTTTCCCCTTTTGCAAGATGGAAAAAACTACCCCTGTCTGCCAACTTAGACAAATTGCTTTGAGGATCTGGTGAGGTGGTGCGTATGATGCTGCCTTGGGAACTTTAAAGTGTGGGGCACAGGGAACCCCTTAAGCATGCAAGAGTGGGTAGGACTCCAGTGAGGTTTCCTTTCTTTTTCTCCTTTTCTGTTTCTTATTTTTATCTTTATAATTTTTATCTTTATAATTTTACAATGTCCTTGTTATAACTGATGCAAATGATGCTGAAATAATTAAGGTGGAGATGGACAGTTCCATGTCCTTTCCATATCTCCGCCCCCCCCCTCCCGCCCCGTATCCTGCTGTGCAGAGAGGTAATCCCTGTTTATAGTTTAGCATACCTGCCAGGTTTTCAAAATACCCATCTGTACAAACTTACATGTCTTTTTTTTCAATATATATACACATGCATATATAATTTTGTTCTTTAAATTTTACAAAAATGTTTCCTGCACTGTTCTGCACCTTGCTTTTTCCCCTTAACAATTTTATCTTGAAGACCTCTCTGTATCAGAGCTATTTAATTCTTTTCTGTGTCTAAGCATATACATATATATAAATAAAACTAATTTCCTACTAATGTCATTTGGATCATTACCAATTTTTTAAAATATTACCTATGGCACTGTGTGAAAATGCTCATCAAACAAGTTAATACTCTTGTATTTTCAAATGAATTGCTGGTGACACAAATTTTAATATTTGATAGATATGTCAAACTGCCAGATTCCACTCCCACCAGTGGTATTTGGGGTGCCCGTTTGCCTACAGTGGTCCTCAGCCAGGGGTGATTTTGTGCCCGCTCCTAAGGGACATTTGACAATGTCTGGAGACATTTTCAGTTGTCACAGCCTGAGAGGCAGTGATGAAGATGCTACTGGTCTCTAGTGGGTAGAGGCTAGGGATGCTACTACACATCCTTCGATAAACAGGACACTTGCCCACAGCACAGAATTGTGTCAGCAGTGCCGAGGCTGGCAAACCCTGCACTACACCCTTGCCAGTGCTGGGCATTGCCATTTTTTTTCATCTTGCCAATCTGGTAGTTTGAAAAAAAATGATATTTTATTTTACTTTGTACCTCTTCAGGAGAATGGAGTGATTTTTAATTCTTATTTTATATATTATTTAAATTTGTTATAATGAATATGTATTACTTTTATACTTTTTTTGAAAGGCCATTAAAGATTTTTAGAAACCTGTACCTCTTTGATTATTACTATGCAACCTGTTCTTAAAATTTAATCATATAAGTGCCTGCTTGTTTTTCTGATAATGTGTCGAAAGAAATCCTTAACACAGGGCCTTGAGAAGCCGTCAATACTTCAAGTTCAAGTCTCCCATCCTCTGGCCTTCAGAATTTCTCTTTTGTTCTTTCAAATCACCTTCTCTCAATGGACACCCAGACCCAGGAGCCACCTCTGAGAAGCGTCTTAGCCCAGAGATACTCCTCACCACAGACCAGGGCTCCAAAACAAAATGTATCCTCTGCTGACCCAGAACACCCACCAGGAAAAAAATGTTCATTTCTCAGTTGTGAAACCTGAGATCCACTCACCCTGTGAGTTTCCCAGACTGTCACAGCCGAGCCAAGCCCCTGGGGCTTCTGTGGAGCCTGGAGCTGCTGGCATAGGCTTTGGTGCAGCGTGAACATGTTCACATCCCCTCCACTAGGTCCTGTTGAAATGAAAAGGAATGGCGCCCTGCCCAACATGGCAGGGAGTGCTGGAGAAGCCATGCTCCTTTCTTTTGGCTCAGAGCAAGCCGGAGCCAGCCTGGAGGAAGCGTCCATGGCGGGAGGACTTATCGGTAATACCTGGATACTCCCAAGAAAATGTCCCACGTGGCAGAAGTGGCATAGACTTGCCTGCAGCCTTTGCAGATCACCCAATAGCAGACTTTCAAAGTGGGCAGACAGCTCTGGCCTTGGTGCCAGGAACAGGGCTTCTGCCAGCAGCTCTGTGCATTTCATCTGCAGCCTGCTGTGGTTTTCCAGCAGTAAGCAAAGGCACATGAGGAGTCGGCCTGGTCTAATGGCTCTCATCACACTCTGGAATCCACACAAATCATGTCAGTGGAATGCAGTGTGCGATCTGTGAGGCCATGAATGCCTCAGACGCCGCTGCATTGCTGACTCTGAGAGAGAAAACAGTAAGGGGTTCACAGCGGGAAGAGAGGGGAGGTAGTGATAAGGGAAAGAAGACCTGTCTCCAAGTCAGGGCCTGAGTTCCGCTCCTGCCTCGCTGTGCACCCTAGGACAGATAAATCACTTTACTTCTTTGGGCCTCAGCTTCCTTGCTAAATGGTTATCAGAAGCATTCACTCCGTTTTTCAGTTTGCAATTTTCTCTAAACAGTGCCAATTAGATAAAGCTGGCTAAAATAAATTAGAGATTTAAAATAGAGTTTAGACACAATCCACTTCCAGTTGGTTAGTTTTTCTTACTTGAAAGTATAATAATAGATGGTCAAAACAGAAAAAAAAAATGTCAGAAGATAGAGCCATGGAAAAAGTAGTTTGTAGAGAACACCCATAGTTCTATTATAATACCCACTCTGAGACAGTGCTGTTGGCATCTTGTTGGGACCTGTCCAAATAAGAGCTTCTTAACTTGGGTTGGTGGATGGGCTTTAGGGGAAGAGAGCCCCTGAATGGTTGAATAAACCCCCTTTCATGGGCCATTAGGATTTTTGCATTGTTTAGCCATTACGAAGAGTGCTGTGCAGATATAAGCTTAATGAAAAAGAATTAGAACTTAATGAGAAAACAAGAAGAAAAACATGGACAATTTGAACACCTGCCAAAAATACTTTAAAGGGCACAACAAGAGGCCAAATTATCCTACGGTGCACAAAAGTTACCAGTGAGAGAGAGTGGATTGATGCTCATTTCCAGCTGTTTACATTTAAGTCAACAAATATTCACTGGGCAGGTGCTATCATATGCCAGAGCCTGTGCCAAGTGTCACGGACTCCTCAGCTAGCCCAGCCGCTGACTTCACTGAGCTTTCCAACTAGCGGAAACCGACATGGAAATTATTTCATGCACAAACAGTAGTTTGTGTTTAACCAAACTGCCTTCGTTACTGATTGGCACAGTGGAACCCTGAATTACCTCCTTGTTATTCCTTGACCCAGCCTCCCTGCCTTTCAGGGGCTTGCATGTGTCAGTCTTGAGTTCAGGTCTCTTTCCTGCTTAGATCCAATCCAGAGGTTGCCGCCAGGTGCTGCTGAATGAAAGCCATTCAACTTCTGCTTGTTCTTTTCAGGGAACAGGAAGCTTACTATTCTCAACTTGGCTTCTTTCTGCTTGTCTGAAACATTTCTTTATATTAAACTGCAACCTCCCACCATGACTTCCTCTGATTGGTCCCAGAACCTCACAAAACAAGTCTGTCTTCTTCCCCAGCCTGCAGATCTGAAGAGCTTTAGATCTTCAGGTAAAGCACCCAATCCCACATTCTTGTCCTCCAGTCAGTACCCAGCATCTGTGATGTCCATTGCTGGCCGGAAGGGCCTGCAAACCCCCTGTTGATGCTTCAAACCGTGCACTTGCCCAGACCTTCCAGCAAAATATCCATAAACAGATGGCCACACATGGGGGCAGTGAGGCCCAGACCCTTGAGGACAGACTATGCTGGTGATACTTGAAAAGGTTCTGCAGCTTCAAGAGGTAGGTAGGCATGGGCAAGAAGACGAGTCAGCCCTGATTGGAGGACCTGGTCTGCTGCCCTCCCAGAAAGAGCCTGTGTGCCTTCCATCAGTACCTCTCACACTACGGTGTGTGCTAACCTCCGGGGGTCTTGTTAAACTGTGGATTCAGATTCAGCTGGTGTAGAGTAGGGCATAAGATTCTGCATTTCTTACCAGTTCCCAGTTATGTGCTGACACTTCAGACCACACTCTGAATAGCAAAGCCCTAGGATTGGTATCACAGTCCCTTGGGGTGCTTTACAAATATGGACAGCTTGGCTCACCCAAACCTACTGATTCAGAGTTGCCTGGAGACTCGCTCATTGATCTTTCTCTCCTTGTTTCTTTCTTCTTCCCTTCCGCCCTCTCTCCCTCCCTCCTTGTCTCCCTCCCTCTCTGCTTTAGTTTGAAAAGCCCCCAAGATGACTGATGGACAGTCCAGTTTGGTATGGGAGCAGAGGCAGTGGTTCCCAGTCCTGGCTGCATGTCAGGGTCACCTGGGACTTTTATAAAATGTTGACCAATTGAATCAATTTCTAGGGATTGGGGCCAAGAGATTAGCGTTTCACAAATCTCCCCAAATGATTCTAAGGTACAGTCCCTCGTGTAGAGCCTGATATAAGAATCATCTGGAATTCTTGATGGAAATACAGGTTACTACACTACCCTCTGCCCTGAACATGGAGATTCAAGGTCTGGGACGAAGTCCAAGAGCCTGTGTGTGTAGTAAGTGCTGTAGCCTCTCTCAGATTCGTTTCTTCATCTGTGAAATGGAGATGA